TTACTATAATACTATATCACTGTAATTTAGCATGTCATTATAATATTCATAACTACCCAAGTAATATTACCCCTCTCTTAACCAAACATTATCACATCATGTTTCGTGCTATATTCTAAGATACTACAAGGAAGTACGAAACCTCACATAATTAATAATCATATGTTCTTTGCATGCACGTAATTTCAGAAAGTGATACTACGTCCATATGATTCTTGATATTTACATACATAAATATATATATATTATTCCTCTTGTTGTCTTAAATAATAGATTGAACGTAATGAACTGATTATATTTTCATCACCATTTATTGCTATTGTCGAACAATCATTTCTTACAGCCATTTAGATACTCACACGTAATTCATAGTATATGAATTCGTTTAACCGCCGCGTTGTCATATCACTCTAACAATTTACCTCGCTACCGTCTTCACTACATGCCGGAGCGACTCCCCGCTGAGGTAACGCCCGTGATTTTCCGCTCGGCCACAGGCGTTGCCATCATCTGCAACATAAAGGAAATAATTAACATTTCCATGTCATTTCACTTCGCATGCTATACTGCACGTGCTACTAATCATGCCTATCTTTAAAGAAATATGTGCTAAGCAAGCTTATTCTTTTTAATCAACAGATACCTCAAGTACTTTCTGCTTACGTTATGTCAAGCCAGTTGAATAACCCCATTGATCGCTGGCCCCGATGGCCTCCAATAATTAAGGGTATCCTTGGCTTGACTCATCTCTGGTCACAATCGGCTAGTTGCTGTATTTCTTTCTTCGCTAAGAATAGGGAAACGGGCACTATTCTCTGCGACTGGTGCGCTGAATCCCTTCCACCTCGGAGACGAAGGCTGTACGTGGATGCTGCTCGCCATTATCTCACCGTAGGGCCGAATCCGGCGCATGAACGCTGTTGGGATTGCGATGAATTAATTCCGATAGTCTGCCCGGCTACCAAATGCCACATCTGCCCGGGGATCTTTCGCAATTACGTGACCGCCCGGTTTAATGAAGGAGAAAGCCCCCATGACCGTGTCGAAAGGGTCAATGTCTGTATTAAAGAAATGCATTTCGAGTTAGTTGGTGAATTTTAAAGAAGATTTTTCTTACAATAAATGAACTAAGCTTGACATACT